GGAGAGAAGGGAATCTCGTGGATGAGATGGGCTTGTAAGATAGGGTCCCATACGAAGCAGGGCTTTTTCAGGCCTTTTTCTTCGTCAGCCCTTCCCCCCCCCGCCGAGACTGAGCCCAAGGAGAGGAGTGGCTTTTTTCCATTTCCAGCCGAAACTGCATCACGGACATCTTGCAAAATGATCGCTAAATGCATGCCAGGAAGAGAACGTTTGACAGGAAATCCCTCGTAAGTACCGGATACGAGCTGAGTTGAGTTCCGAGCCGGCGCCCGATGAGATGCGAGCCGATGCCAAAAAGGATCGTGACGCGGCGAGAAACGTGTTGTCGACTCGCATGTCAGCCGGCGCGTTAACCTTGAACCTGCACGTATTCGGGATCCCCTGCCTCTCCAAATCGTCCTCCTACGACTATGGCAACCGGGTTGCCTTTCGCACGGTCGCGGAGAGGCATTCCGTGCCGAGGTCCTTCCGATTCTGCATGAACCCTGCCTTAACCCGAGTCACGGGTGCTCAAAGCAGTTTTAATTAATTTAAATATTTTAAATGCTTAAAAAAAAATTCATTTTCAATTATATAAGAATTATTGCATAACAATTGATGATAGCTATCGTTAATATAACTACATAATCAATTATATTAATGTAATCATATAATTATAGTAACATTAATAACATTAATTTATATTGTATTAATTAATTATTTATTATTACTTCGGATACATTATTATTTCTTAATTATTTTGCTATTATTAAAATTTATTGCTTTGTTTTTTAAAAAATGATTTCATGTGACCAAGTTGTCTGTCAGCTGTTATTTTGCACTATATCCACGCTCATGGTACCATAACAACAGATCAGCTGTTCGATTGCAGCTGACATGAGTGCATCTAAATGAGGGGCCGATTGCAAGTCGCCTCGTGTTCTAATGTTTTCATGCAAATTCAATTTTGTTGAAACGTTGAAAATCGGGGTTCATGAATTTATGAATAGTTTTCTGTCTTCGTTCATTTTCCGTGGATTTACCTATAAATTAGCAACCATTCTCAAGTGTATCACGGTTGGGGGCACACCGGATTGAAGACAGGTCCAGGAATTTCTCTATAAACCTGAAACTTTGATAGAATAAGCATTGCGAAATGGGGAATCTAACGGTGGTCTTTGTTCGAAAATCGACTTAGAACTTCTAGAAATATGGTTATCGCTCTCAGGAAGAAAGTTTTACAACCCAGTGGTTTTGGTCATGGCTTTCACAGCAAGCGCGACGACAGAGTTCGCCTTCGTTCCAGGACCTCTTCCTCCTGCTCAGTATCACCGATTGTTTGGAGAGCAGGAAAGAAGTATTTCGGCAGGCAGCAGAACCATTCCTGGAACCATCCTAATGAGAACGGAGATGCTCAAGAAGGCAGAAAGAAGGACACGAATCATGACTTATCGCTGGAAGATACTTGCTAGTAACGCGAGACGAAGGTGAAGGCCCAGAGCTCTTTGTAAGTCGAATGGTCAAAGCGCAGCCAGTCTAATAGCTGTCGATAAGCATGACCGTGGTGGTAAGATGGGTCAACTTCCGGTGGGCAGAAAAGTAGGAGGGACTGCCTCAAAGAGATTAACAACACATCAACAGCCTCACTGGATCAAGTCCTTCAAGACTATGTTGTTACTCCATCTATTCCGGATTTTCGGATCTGGCGAGGAGTGAGATTGCCACCGGAATTGGGGGGTTTGGGTACACTTGACCTAGAGAATGATTGTTAAAATATCGAGGAATGAAAATCAACTCGAAACTCAGGAAAAAAAAAAAAACTACATATATGTATAACTTTTTTAGTTATGCTCCGCAGTCGGCTTTCTTTCCTGCTCGCTAATCGATGCGAATTAATGTGAAATTAATCGCATAGGGATCCGAGGGAGAGGTAAGGTAAGTGCTTACCCTCGTGTTTACCCGCGCTAGGTAAACTTTCTGATTGACAGGAGCGTGCAGAATGAGAATTGCAGCTAGCTCTAGAAGCAGGATACAACACTTCTATTCGGTGGAGAAGAAATTTAATATATATTTTTTATGATTAATCATCTTATTAATATTTTAATGTAATTATTATGGTATTAATTTTTTGCGAAGTTGGGGAAAGGTGTTCGAGACACAGGTCCCCTTCCCCCATCCCCCGGCCCCCTTCATCGCCCCCACCCCCTCGCATTTATTCTGTATGACGTGGAGCAATGCCGCTCGTCCATGGTCTCGGCATCGCCATAGCAACGTTCAATATCGTGGCGGTGGTGTGAGGGTGGTATGGGGTGGTGTGAGGTCAGCCAATGATGCAAGCCGTCAGCAATCTGCTTGAACCTCATGAATTTTTAGGCATTTTTTCCTTCTAGATTCCGAAAATGAAAGACCACGTAAAAACTGATGAGAACATCCAAGAAGACAAAGAAGGCCGTAAGAGAAATGAGGGTAATGAGAACCATGGCCAGAATCACGAGGAGGTTTCCGATGGTGTTTCCTTCCGCGAAATGCAACGCTACTGTCCCCCAGACGGTGGATGACATACCGGTGGATGGAACGTTGACACCGCCAGAGCGTCTAAAACCGACGAGGACGAAGAAAGCACGTGATTCACTTCATCGGTCAGGGTTCCTCTGCTTCTTTCTGCGAGGAGTCCTGGCGGAATGCGTCCGACTCTCGCGATCTCCTGCCCTGTTTTTCCAGTTTCCAGGTTCGCGACTGTAACCTGCGACACGGATCGCCGATGACACGCAGGACGTTCGGTGAAATTCATCGGTCTCCTGATTTATTCGTCGGTGGCTCCGTGTCATCGGATGCCGGAAAGTTTCCATCTTCAGCTCGAACACCGGTAGCTTTTCTTTCTTCGCGCTCTTATTATTGTGCAGAAATCAGTTGACAAGAATCGGAAGGGGAAGGCATGAAACCCCTTCCACCTTGGCAGGTGATAGCTTCCCTCCTCCCTCTCATTTTCACTCAACGAAATTGTCGATCTCCCCCTTTGCATGGGATGGAAATCGACGGTTTCGTTCCGCGATCGGCCAGGAGTGACAGCCGGAAAAGCAAACACGGGAGTGGCACACAATTAAACTCACTCGGGATCGATCCCTCATCCGATTTGCAGCAGTCATTCGATTTTCCGTTTCTTGTGGTTGCAAATATTCAAAATGAGTTCGACGAGACGCGACAGAAGTTCCCGAGAGGGATGCCGAAGTTGCGACGCCACGAACGAAGACGAAAGACCTTCGAAATGCATTTCACGTGCCACCCACCTTCCGCACGAGAGACCTCGGAGACGATGAGAGAGCCATCTCCTCGCTCCCTTGCACTCCAAGCGATTCTCCTTGGCTCATTTTTGAATGAGAGATGGAGATGGATATTAGGATGGAGGTAGGGGAGAGATGAAGGTGGGGATGAGGAAGGGGATGGAGGTGTGGTGGGGATGGGGAAAGGCATGGAGATGGACTCTTCATCGCCTCGAAAGATGCGACAAAGGGACCAAATAGTCTTTGGTGACTTCCAGTTCGAACGAAGGCGAGAGAATGCACCAACGACGACTGACGACGGGTTCAAAGAATGAGGAGAGCTTTTGGTAGACTTTAGACTAGGGCTGTACCGGTGGCCACATTTTGCCGGTGGGCCGATGGCCGATTATTTTCTTATACCTATCGGCCGGTGCCGGTGCCTATTGTGATGTGTAGAGAAGCAGCGAAAAAGCATTCGACAAAATTTGTTTAAAGTCAAATAGACATATTATGAATGCACGTTCAATTTTATTATTGCTTCCACGCTGGGTGTTTCGAATGCACCCATGTGTCGACCTGAAACATCGATGCTGGCGGGGGGTTGGGGTGGGGCTGGGGGTGTCGGCGGATTCGGTCTTTCCTCACTGCGATCGGGATCAGGTTTCTGCCTCGTTTCCGCCATTTCTTGCCTCGATCGGAGCGCTGACCTATATCCACCTTCCATAATCTGTCGCCTGTGATTCGAGGAGTTGGAGGGGCAGGTGTGACCTTCACGACGGTGATAATGCCTACCATACCTCAACTATCGAAAATGACAGCAATACAGCGATGGATGAACTGCGATAGCCCTAATTTTTTCCTATTGCCGTTGAGAATCGGGTACCGAGCCCGTTCACGTGGTTTTTTTTATATTTATTTTTTCTCGTTCAGCACGTTATTCTTTGAACATCCGCACCGGCTGGTTCCAAACCTGCCGATGGCCGATGTGGCCGACAGTCCAACACCGGCGGCCGATACCGGTGTTAGCCGATACATCGGTACAGCCCTACTTTAGACACCTCATATATCACATCACATCCCATCCGTAGAGTCATTTCAATTCTAACCCTGTCTTAGAGCGACCAAAGCTCTAAAGATCTGCCTTTCCCTCTTGATCTGCCATTTTTTTGCTTTCTATCGGCATCGGTATCCCCCGCTCTGGAAAGATCTGACTGTTCGAGAATCCCAACTGCCTTACACCTGGAGGGAGCGACAGTGATTGAAGTTCACTCTTATTGCCATGAGGTTCCAATGAGTATTCTCTTCCAAATGGATTGACTGGATTCGATTGCAGCTTCGTCGAAAGGTGCTGGCATCTCCCGACTTATCCGTGAATCAGAAACACTGGGATTTTCGCGTTGAATGGTGCGAACCTCACACATGGGGATTTTTTCCCCCGTGAGATGGAGTTGATGTTTTCATCGCCTTGAAATGCGCAATGAAGTGGCCAAAAGGCCTTCGGATCCTTTTCTAGTCCACACGAATGCTAAAAGACAAGAAACCAGGTATGTATGCCTGTAAATTAGCACATATTAGGCTTTTGTGAATCAGGGAGGGACCATCCTCATTTACATGAATACGTCGTGGGAATCGCGTGGGATCACGCATCGAAAAGACAAAGAAATGAAAATCAATTCCAAGCTGTGTATGTCTGTCATATATATTACAGCAATAACATTGCACCGATTACAATCGTAATATAATATACAAGAGTATTATTGGGGGGGAAATCATCCCTGCGAGGGAGATACATGGGCACTGTCCAGAATGACCAAGCTACAAACGGTAATCCAGGCGCCGGGAGTCGAAGAGCAGTCATTTCGGACTGCGGACGTCTTGGAGGTCCTGCAGGAAGTCGGCGTATCTGAACGAAGGAGCATCCTCGTCTGGGACCTGCAACCGGAATCGCATCTGAGTCACTCCGAGACGTGCAGAGATGGTTTTCTAGAAAAATCTTTTGGGTTTCCACTGTGTATACCTTTCTTTTAGTACTACCAGGAGTGTTAACTTTTTTTTAACGAAATCGCCTCGCTGTGAAGCAGAAATGCATCGGTAACGAGCATCCAGGAATCGAGAAAGCCAAGAAGAGACGGATAATAAAAAAGAAAAAATAAGCGTAACTCGCGACACGGACCTGCGGCGGAGCGATGGGATGCGCGACGTAGTCCAGCATCTCCACCACGTTCTTGTACGGCAGCTCCTCCTCCTTCCCTTGGGTCAACCTGCTCGACCGGAGACGAAAGAAGGCGATGAAAAGGGACGACCGGAGACAAGACGCGAAAGGCGGAAAGGAGGGAGACGGACGCGTCGAGGACGGCGCTGAGCGAGAGGGGCGAGAGGGGTAGGCGGAATCCCCTGGCGGCGTTCATCAGCTCCCGATGGGTGAACTTTCCCTTCTCCTCCCCCGGCCTTTCTCTCCCTTCCAGGTAGTCCCGGAAACCCAGGAAGTCCTCGAACCCCTTCTCCTCGAGCTCCCTCTGGGCCTGCCATCTGTCGGAGCGAAACCGTGCGAGTCGGAGGGAAGGGGAGCGGACGCGGAAAGGCGCGGAAAAACTCACACGATGGCGTCGAGGGAGGGTCGGTGGTCCCGCTGCGCCGCGTATGCTCGACAGAGAGTCATCCACTCCTGCGAGCTCAGCTCCGTCTCCTTCCCGAGTTCCTCCCTGTTCCAATGATTTTTATTTTTCTCGAGTGCATCAATTAATAGTTTTGAAGTCATCGACGATGAATCGGTTAATCTCTACAGTTGACCTACTGTGGGTTACTGTTGGCTACACGACAAAAGGATTTCCACATATTTTTAAAGCACTTAGACGAAAGGAGAACTCATGGATCGTCTGAGTCGCGGAGACCTGAAAGCATGGAAGCGACAGAGCCCCCTCTGGTCCGGGTCCAAGAGGGCCACGACCCGACGACAGAACTCCAGCAGCTTCTTTCCCCCCTCGTCCATCGCAGCCGCGACCTTCTCCCGGATCCGCCGCACGTCGCTCTGCGGAAACTAGGAGAACGGAGAAAAAAGGAGAATCTCGTGACCCGTTCCCGGATGAGCACCCTTCCCGTACCCACCTGTTCCGGATGTCCCTCCATGTATCCGACGGTGAAGTCGTCGGCCTGGAGAAGGTGGAAGTGGAAGCCGTTGATGGGGAGCGTGGCCCCGACGTGGAAGTCCCCCTCACGCAGCGCCTCGCCCGTGTCCCCGCGTTTCACGCGGGTGCGCGACAGGAACCGGCCCTGGCGGATCCCTAAGTGTCGGTTGATGAATATCTGACCCGAAGTTAACTCCGGGTCAGAAGAGCATGGGGTTAAACTCGGGACTAGATGATCCGCGGTTTGATGAATGGCTAACGGAATGTTAGGCTAAACTAAGGAACAAATCGGGGGCTGCACTAACTCCACTCATTTGGTGGTCTTAAGTTGTTTTCTCCGTGATAAGAAACCTATTACGGAAGGACGACACGCCGTGCCGTGATCGCGCTAGTCTGTATCCTGCCATGGCTTCTTTTGTAGACCTCGTTGAACTAGCTGAGATTAACAGTCGGAGCTAGTGCCAAGTCCCGAAAATCAGGCATCGTACCAATCCTTTTACACTGTACGACAATGAAGAATTTTCACCGAGGTTTCGCTTGTCCAAGCTGACAGTTCTGCATTTACCGTGCTTTTCACCTGAGTCAGACACTTTTTCACTTGACTTCGACACTCAAGCATGAGGAACGTCCCATGCACATGTGTCCGAGTCAAATGAAACATTGCCTAACTTGAGTGAAAAACGCTGTAATACAGCATTTGCAACTCCAGGAACTCAAGAAACATGAAGCCCGACGCCAATGGATGAATGAATCAACCAACGTTAAAACAGCTATTAGTCCTCTCTTGTGAAGTTCTCGCGACGTTTTGACTGAATAGGAATGTTGGATGGGCCAGCAGTATCCGATACTAACACCTACCAAAATTGAATAGTACGAAAGCGTCCGATCCAAAAGAAACGCAACCAAGGAGAAGTCGGACGTGCAAAACTGGAAAGCGCATGCGCAGCGGGATGGTGGGTGGGGATCCCTGGAACAACCGAGTTGTCAGATTGCTGGGAAGAAATGGGAAGGTGGGGTCTGCTAACTCCTACATATTCTTCGATTCATCAACCGACACGAGAGAATCAGTTTAGCCCCGGGGCTACTTAACCCGGCGGAGAAGTTAACCCGGGGCTAATTATCCCCTCCATTCATCAACCGACCCTAAGAAAGACAAAGCGCTCCCTGTCTCTTATTTCTGGAACGATCATCAGTATACAGGGTGGCCCATCTGCTCCAAATAAGTGCAATTGGGTTAGCTATAAAATAAATACTTTTTTTTAACCAATAGTGAACAATAATGAAATTGGCTTAGATAAATTGCATAAAGGGTGGGCCACGAATCGATTACGTTTGGTTTTGTGTTACATGTTGAAACAAGAAAAACTCTCAAATTCGTGGCCCACCCTGTATTTAGAAATTAATTGCTTCTGTGGGCTCCATCACGCTCAAAGAAGAGCGGCATTCGGTTCATTTGAACTCATGGCTGACCCCGACTGACCACCCTTGGCTTGTATAGTATGTTGATTGTGGGTGCAACTGGACTGGCGGTTTTAGCATTTCAAATATTTCTAGCGGATTCGGGTAAGTCCTAATGAGGCTGGGGCTACATCTTTAAAAATGGAAAGCGCTTCTGGCAACGGCAACTGCCGACTAGTTCCATTCGAAAACGACAGCCCAATAATCACAGAGTTTTGTAAGTTGGAATTGGGATACCGAGAGTCATTCGCACTCCAACCCTATCCAAGAACGGCACGTTTTTCCGTCTCTATCCATTATTTTTCAATTTCCATCGGCATCAGTATCTTCCGCTCAGAAGTTTTCAGGGTGTTCGATAATTACAACTCCCTTACAGCTGGGGGAGTGACTATTACTGACACGCAGTTCACTCTCATTGCCAAGAGGTTCAACTGACTTCGCTCTCATCCAAATGGATGCGGTCGCCCTGTGGTAGAAATCACGTGGAAGGCTCTCCGAAATGATTTACTAAGTTCGACCACTGCCTGGTTCGACCGGCATCCCTGTACTACTGCCATCTCCCGACATATCCGCGAATCAGAAACATTTACGTTTTGATGTTAGATGGTGGTGCAAACACCCCATAGAGGGAATTTTTTTACTTAATCGACATAATAGAAAGGGGAAAATGAAGAGTGGACTTGCCGGCGTTCTCGAACGGGACTTCGTAGATGTGCAGCGATCGGTCCTCGACGTAGAAAGAAAGGACGAACCGTCGCGTCTCGTCCACGGGGGACCGCGTTCCCTCCATCCGAGCCAGGAACCGCAGCGCGTCCTCGCTCCCCCGCCTCCCGTAAACCGGCCGCCCGTACCCTGGCCCCCCGATCCCAGCCTCCTCTCGCCTCCGCGTCTCCGCCTCCGCCTCTCGCCTCTCCCGTTCTCGCTGCTCCACGCGCCGACGCGTCTCCCCCTCCGGCGAGGGCACGGGTATCTCAGGGAAATCCTCTGTAAAGCGAAGCGAGCATCTAGATTGAAGAGTGGGGAGTGACGAGTGAAGAGTACATCAGTTCTTCCTAGAAGACGGTGGGTCTCCATTCAGTTAGAGGGACCCTTATTCTGTCACCTAATTGAACATACAGTCGAACTCGGTTATAACGTCATCGAAGGGACCAGGTAAAAACCGTCGTTATAACCGAGGTTGCCTTTATTGGCACTCCGTTTTCCTGTTTCAAAATTTATGCTATATAACGTTACAACTCCAGTTACATTGGTCATATTGTACAAGCTTCAGTTTCAAGACTGACCCACCCATCACCTTGTGATGATCTGTTCGCACTTCTTTGGACCTTGAACTACTTTATACTTTAGCAAGGCTTCGTCGATATCATCTCGACAGACCTAGAAAGTTTCTTGTTTTGTGACATGTTCTCGTAAGCACGGATGAAGCTGTCACGATTTTCCCAAATTGTGGAAACAGAT